CACACACACACACGTATATAAATACAACCTGATGAGTCTGAAAAAAAAAGAATTGTTATTCTTATATATCAGATTGTTTGCTACAAAATAATGGGACATAATATAATACAATTTCAAAGATAAATTGTGTTTTAAGAACAAACTAGCTGTGTTCCTTGGTGAAAAAGAATCCAATGGCATCATACTTTATACATGTATAAAATGTATTACCTACTTAGTTTTTAGCCATTGAACTGTTAAAAAGAATAAGCCCAAGGCATCCTAGTTAATGAAACTTTAAAACTTCTGCTTGAAATTATAATTTAAAGGTTAAAGAAATTCAATGAATTCGTGTTCGGTAAGTGAGTAGGTTTTAAAAATGAATCAGTCAGAGATGTTACATATTATTAGTAGTTTTAAACATTTTTAAAAATACATTTGGTATTTTGTGTTTCATTTTTAGAAAATACAACTTGGCATGAATGTCTTTCAGATAATTGCGTTTGAAATTGCAGGAAAAATTTCATGTGTAACAAATGCAGCATTAAAATGGCTCCATGACACAGATCTTGAAACAAATTGTAGCATTAGTCATCCTTAAACATCAATAAAGAGTCTATTTCTAGATATAATTACATTTACTGGTTTGGAAACTATTTTCTCCTTATATTAAAGAATATTACTTTTATTAAAAGTCTCTTGGGGTCTGGTGACATTTTACTGATTGAGTTTGAAAGCAAAGAACAAAGAGATGTTCCTTCTTATATGCTGCATATGTGGGTTTTAAAGTTAGGAAGATCTGGATTTGATTCTCAGGTCTGCAAGTAAACTGATGGTGAGCATGGGAAAGATGTTCAACGCCCTGGACTGAGAACACTGACTTCAAATGATGGTGTGGACAGTAATGATAATGTGTCTTGGGCATTTATCACTGTGTCTGACACACACGGTGTTGCCGGTGGAAGATAAATTTCCTTATTGGTGCCTATAAGTTGAAGCATCCTCCCTACTTTCTTCTTAGGCAGATTCAGGGTCACATGGATTCATTTGGAGTAGAAATCTGTGTGGCGTGAGAGATAAGGATCTAATTTCTTTCACATGTTGCTATCTAGTTTTCTGAGCACATTTGTTGAATACACTTTCTTTTCTCCAATTTATATATTTGGCCTCTTTGCCAAAAATCAGGTGGCTATAGGAATGTGAAATTATATATGGAACTTTAATTTTGTTCAGTTGACTGTGTCTGGTTTTGTGTGTGTGTGTGTGTGCCAGACCTATGCTGTTTACATCACTGTGGCTCAGTAGTATAACTTGATATTGGGGATGATGACCCCTCCAATGTTTTCATTGTTTAGTATTGTTTTGGCTATCCCAAGTCTTTTGTGTTTCCATATGAATTTTAAGATTTTTTTTTCAATTTCTGTAAAGAATTGCATTGGAATTTTCATAGAGATTGCAGTGCATCTGTAGGTTGCTTTTCATAGGATGGCCATTTCTGAAATATTAATCCTACCAATCAATGGGTTACCTTACTTTGAGTTATTGATCAGTGGAGTCCAGTGGACACCCAAAACAATACAGGCCATCAGCATTACTCTTAGTTACCCACCAAAACTGGATAAGATCATGTTTCTGAAGACACCACATATTTGAGTCATAGGACAGTTGAGAAATCAAGCTTATATTGATCTGGAATCTTTCCTACTGGCTAGCTTTAATAGTGCTGGAAGGTTCTGTACATTATTATGTTAGAGAAAATTAATCAAAAGTGTTATCAAGCTATGAACCCTTTGAGATAAAATAATGTCTGGCCTGGAAAGATATGTCCATAGGTGTGATGGTGGCAAAAATGTTTTTGGAGTAACCAACTGCATTCTGACTGTATTTAAGGCCTGTTCCACAAGGTGGAACTCATGCCTGGTACTGTTAGCTTGAACAAGAACCTGTGGCTTGGAAAGTTCTAGGTCTTTTTTTTTTTTTTTTTGGTTTTTCGAGACAGGGTTTCTCTGTGTAGCTTTGCGCCTTTCCTGGAACTCACTTGGTAGTCCAGGCTGGCCTCGAACTCACAGAGATCCGCCTGGCTCTGCCTCCCGAGTGCTGGGATTAAAGGCGTGCGCCACCACCGCCCGGCGGAAGTTCTAGGTCTTAGGAGAACACCTACTACTACTATTTGGCCAAATGGGCATAGTATTACACTACTCCCTACATAATTATCTTATACCCATAAATAAGTATATTTCTCAACCCTCATCAGAGAATATTCTTTATGTAGTAGACATTAATTAATACAAAGATGCACAACTAGCCAAAGTGCAGAGAATAAGAGACTTTCAGGTTTACATGGGACATTAGTATCACTTCCATTCTCCCAAGGATCAGGGGGCATCACAGAAGAGGAGGCTGATGGTAAGAGCCAGAGGCAGTCGACGAGTGCCCTGAAGCAGTGTTTCTACATGACGAGGTTATTGCACATTTGAACTCACAATAGTTGTGACTTCATAAACAAGGCTGCATAGTCAAAATGTCAGTATTGATGTGGGAGGTACTCATGAAGTCACACCCTTAGCTGAGGAGCTATTGGCAATTGATGGCCACTGTGGAAGAGTCAATTTTCTTTTTCAGATGCCTGTGCTCTCGTAGATGGCCCAATTATCATTCACTTACTGGCAACATTGAATAGACTCAGTAAGTTTAAAAAAGAACACATGAAGTCTATTGTCTAATAGATTCTATTGTTGTGTATCATCTGTACATGTTTATGAATAAAAAAGTATGGTATGTGACATTTGGTACCTGATTTCTTTTACTTAACATATTTTTAAATTTCATATGTGTCATAGCATGTATTAGTAATTCATTCCATTTTATAGATGAATAATATTCAATTATATAGCCCTATCATATTTTTCTTTATAAAAAGTTATTTTAATTATGTGTGTGTGTGTGTGTGTGTGTGTGTGTGTGTGTGTGTGTGTGTGTGTGTGTTTGGGTATGTCCATGTGATTGTAGGTGCCTACAGAAGCCAGGGGTGCTGTTTCTCTCTAGAGCTCGAGTTCCAAGTGGTTGTAAGCTGCCCAACATTGCTGCTGAGGACTGATCTCAGATCTGCTGGAAGAGTGATATGTGCTTTTAATCATTGAGCCTTCTTTCCAGCCCTTACCATGTTTTCTTTATCCATTCATAGGCATTTAGATTATTTCCACATTTCTTGTCTAGTATTAGTTGTGTTTTCTGAATATTCATGTACTGTTATACCCAGACTGTTGTATACCACAAAGAAGGAGAAAGACAATACTTGTGGGTTCCAAAGACTTTAATAACTCACCACATAAGCAGTTCACTGATCAATCAGGGCTAAAGGACAAGGACTCGGTGCCTTGTTTCTTCTGATAGTCCCAAGTAGGGGCAGAAATGGGGTTTATAAGCACAAAAATCACAAACATTTGTTGCCAAGTTACAATTACATTTTTCACCAATCAGAAGTCAAAGATTAGGACTTTCCTTGTGTGTTCCACCATTGTCAGCTGACACAGAATGTAAGTCTTTCAGTCCAACCAACCAGATATACTTGTTCTTTCTGTTGTTAGGAACAGACATTATGTCTTAGAGAACTGAGGGGCATAACAGACTATTTTTATTGTCTAAGGAGGGGGTTGGTCAGCCATTGGAAAGTTCTCAGCTCCCCTAGGGCTTGAGAACCTGAACTTTATTTCACCATACAGGTAAAATGGAGTCTGAAGTCAAAATGGCAGTTCTTAGGACAAGGTGCTTTTGCCTGCTCCTTTCAGTACAATGTTTTTGTCTGTAGACAAGATGTGTAGGGGATGTAGAAATTTGTCATCAACATCAAATGACAGAGTGGTCAAGTAACATAACTGGTGTGTGTCCGTTAGACTGTATTTAAGGTGTTTGGTATATCTAATGAGAATTGCTTCAGTTTACTCACACTGCTAGTTGGTTTCAAACTTGAGATCAGAAATCAGGTCTGTATGACTTTAAATTACACTTATACTGTGCATGAGATGAAACAACAGCTCATCATACTTGACTTTCAAATAGAATTGACAAATGTCATCAGATTTCCAAGAGATTTTTAATGAAAATAATATTCTTTAGTATGAAGATGAAAATAGTTTCTAAGCCAGTAAATGCCATTATGTCTGGAAATAGAATCTTTATTGATGTGCAAGGATGAGTAATGCTACAATTTGCTTCAGGATCTGTGTCATGGAGGCATCTTAATGCTGAGCTGATCATCTATGAATTTATCCATTATTTCAAGCACGTTGGCCTAAAACGGATTCACACAAGAGTTTGCTGTAGCAAGGAAGAGTGGGGAGTGATAGAAGGTTGCACTGCCTGGGGAAATGATAACAGAATGGACCCTCAAGTTAGAGAGGAGCAAATTTAGACATGTATTCAGGGCTAGGCGCTCTCATGGACAGAACAGCAGCGGCAAGTCCTGAAGTGGAAAGGGCGCATCATATGGAAGACAAAGCAAGAAGGCTTAAGAGCCTTAGGCCTAATTCATTAGTGGAACTCTTCAAACGTCTCAAAGAATGCAATTTCCAGGCTCCTTTATGTCCCATTTTCAAATCTCCTTTGAAACAGAAATAGTTTGCTTAGAGAAAAAGTGCAGGCGCAGCACAGTAGCTGTCTTCCTCTTCAATAACCAATGCAGATTTTTCTGTAAATAAAGATAAATCCCAAGGACAACCTTTTAAAGGAAATCTCTATGGTATTTCCTCAAGAGGTTTTTATTCAACATATATATATATATATGTACAAGATAAATATATATACATATATATGAAAGCTAACAATGTTTATTGTGATTATGATAAACAATGTCAATGCCTGTTGTATTAGTCAGGAGTTTCTAGGGCAACAGAATTTAGAGAATTAATCTCTCTCTCTTTTTATGTGTGTCTCTCTCTCTCTCTCTCTCTCTCTCTCTCTCTCTCTCTATATATATATATATATATATATATATATATATATATATATATATGATTTATTAGAATGACTTACAGGCTGCAATCTAGCTAATCCAACAATGGCTGGCTGTGAATAGGAAGTCAGTAGTTGCTCGGTCCACCAGGCTGAATGTCTCAGCTGGTCTTCAGTGTACACTACAATCCCAAAGAAGGAGGCTCTAACGCCGATGAAGGAATGGACTTGCTGACAAGGCAAGGGTGAGCAGGCAAGGAGAAAGGCTTCCTTCTTCCATGTCCTTTATACAGGCTTCCAGTGGAAGGTGTGGCCCAGATTAAAGGCTTGTGTCTTCCCACCTCAAGGATCTGGATTGAAGGCCTGTCTTCCTACCTCAAACATCTGGGCTAGAAGTGGTTCTTCCTACTTCACATTAAACAAAAATTCCTCACAGGTGTGCCCTCTGGTTTTTGTATTTTAGTTAATTCCAGATATAGTCAAGTTGACAACCAAGAATAACCATCGTATTTGTTCTAACTGTATAGAAATTTATTGAATTGTGTAGACTTTGGGTCTGGTTAATTTTGTGGTGTGATGTTTTTATTTATTTGCAAGTTTTTTTTAAATAATAAAGTTTATAAAGTTTAAAACACAGTTAATATAGTAGTACTTGTCAAAAGATGGCATCATAACAGATGGTGTGGTATTTTGTAAATAATAAATGTTTATTGAGTGAACAAATGATTGTGTGAATGAAATACATTTGTATTCTCCAGAAGATTTTATGACATCACATACTTAATTCAAGAAATTTCTGACTTATGTATGCTGTTTTATATGTAACATCATGTAACTTACATTGTTATAACTTACAAATTATTTTATAAACAAATATATAATAGTGCATTATTTTATTTTATTGTTTTTTATGATTTTATTAGTTTATATAATATAGAATAAGCATGATAATAATGCTAAAGCACTATTGTTGGTGAAGCTTTAGGGTTACAAATGTTAAAAAATAAAAAAAAACCTTAAATGTAATTTTCTTTTTAGCAATTCATGTGCCAATGATGGAGGTATTTGAATATGTGGTTAAATATTTTACACTTCTCCAACTGAAGCATCCTAATATTGCTTCTAGATGACTCAATGTGTGTTTATATTTTTGGTGCTCATTTGCAGGCTTTATTCAGTTTTTCATTTTGGCTTTTTCCTTTTCTAAAATAAATCAGTCCTAATGAAATTATGGTTCTAGTGTGAAAAACAGGGCTTTGGATTAGGGCTATACATATCACTTATGTGAACTATTAAGTAACTGAAAAGATGAGAAATGTGCATTTCATGTGACTATCTTATTGACTGTAATATTAAATCTGTATGCTATAGGGCCAGCAGTTCCTTTCATTTGTTATCTTGATTGCTTACATAAGCATTTGTTACTTGTTTCTCGTCATTAATTATTATCAGTGAAAATTATAGTGACAACTGTAACCTTTTCTGCTGCTGAAATAGTTGAAATTTATTTACTTAATAATATTCACTTCTGTGGCTTTATTAAGCTCAAAGCATTTGGTTTTCAAGTCATAATCTCCTAGAATTGACTCCTTGAATTTTCCATAATGTTGGCTGATTCTACTAAGTGAATAGCATCATATGGTGGGATTCATCAATCTAGGCCATGGCTGCCTAACACAACACTGTTTTATAGACTGTTCATCATTATCACATACATTGCTTCAATGGGGAGAAAGAAAGAAAAAGTGAACAAATAAGAAATAATTTTAAAAAAAGAAAAGAAAAGAAAAGAAAGCCAGTGGTTCTCAACCCGTGGGTCAAAACCTTTTTGGGGGTTTAACAACCCTTTTACAAAAGTCATATATCAGCTATCTTGCATATCAGATATTTACATTACAATTCATAACAGTAGCAAATTATAGTTATGAAATAGCAATGAAATTATTTATGGTTAAGAGTCACCACATGAGGTACTGTATTAAAGGGTCGCAGTGAAGTTGAGAACCACTGAAGAAAAGGTTCAGTGGTAGAGATTCACTCTGTCATTTACTGATTATAGCACCTTACAGTGTCTGAGGGGTGTTATGGTGGCCATGAGTATAGGCATTATTCCTAAGAGATGAATGACTTTGAAAGAATAATGCTTTCTTCAAAACACCTCTGGCACTTTTGCAATTGCTGCAACTTTAGTTCAGTGATGCCTAATTGCAATCTTTCTTGGTGTTTCTCATCTCTCTACTTGCTTGCCACTGCCTTTTCCTCTGGGAAATGCATGCTTAGCTGCCTCTTAAATACAACTGAAGGAAACCCATAATTGTAGTATTTACTACAGTTTCTAGGAATTTGATTTGTCCACTCCGGTGTATAACTTTTTCTAGATGGTCTTTGGTGGCTTCCTATGTTGGGGGTCATGGAATGACTTCTTCAAGTGTCAGTGCAGGAACCATTCTCAGCTTGCTAATGTCGGTCTTACAGCACCTGCCAGCTCCTGCAGGTTAATGTTGGCAGCACCCTCTTGGATTAGTAAGATTTTCCCATTTGGGTGCCTTCCACTTCATGCTCCTGTAACTTTACATGATTCATATGTAAAAAAGACTTCTAGCAGTTCCTGACACATAGTAAGTGCTAATGAAACACTAAATATAGCAAGGGCTAAATATTACTAAGTAATCCACACTAAATATTTATGTTGAATTCACTGGTACCAAGCAAAATACTTTACACCTGTGTGCTTTGAGTGGGGATTGAGGTTACAAGAAGCCTATATTTGTGTTCTCCATTTGTTTTTAACTTCTGTTCCATTTGGATAGGGTTTTCTAAACAGTATTTGGAGGTAGTCATACTCAGCATCCATAGAAAACAACTGTGTCAGTGCACAAGCCTGTCTCTCTCCTGACTACAGATTAACTCTTACACAGAGGGATGTTGTTGAATAATCTTTTTGTACACTGTGAAGATGTGTCTCTGCCAAGGCACCTTCTGATTGGTTTACTACAGAGCTGAATGGCCAATAGCTATGCAGGAGAGGATAGGTGGGACTTCCAGGGAGAGAGAGAAACTCCAGGAAGAATCTGAGGCTAGAGGGAGTTCGCCAGCAAGATGCAGAACAAGTCAGATGTATAGTATGAGGAGACGTATTGAGCCATGAGGCAGAATGTAGATTAATATAAACAGGTTAATTTAAGTTATAAGAGCTAGTTGGGAACAAGCTTAAGCTAAGGCCAAGCTTTCATAACAAATAAGAAGTTTCCATGTCATTATTTGGGAACAGGTGGTACTAAAGAAAAGTTTGACTGCACATGAAAAAGCCCGAGATTAACCGTTAACGCTTTTATAATCCAATTTGTTGTCATTATAAGCCAAGAGAATTTTAGAATGTATGCATTACTGAATAAGTCACTGGATAGTGAATGTGTTCAGAGACTGGGATGAGAAAGGGGAATTTGGTGCTTGGGGGAAAACAGAGTGGGAATAGAATGACTGACCTGGAACCCTTCAGCTGAAGAGCTGCACAAAAGCATCTCTCCTCCTGCTTCCACAAACTGTGTTTGATTGCTCAGGCTTGAATCCCCAGGCAGGCATAGCAGAGGTCAGCCTGACATATAGTCAGAGACAGAGGGGTCTGAAAGTGTTTACTGATGACTGGGAAGACTCCGGCTTTTGTTCTTTCTGTCCTCTTTTTCCAAATTCCCTTTAGAACACCTCATGGAGTCTTAGCTATGTCCCAGAAACTATTAAAGTGGGCTTAATATGATGAAATCAGATCTCAGCCTGTACTTACACTCTAACAAGTTAATATTAGCTAACAATTGGAATATGCGTCAGAGAGTCTGCAATTTTGCAACTCTAGCTACTTCTGTGTGTGTTGAACACTTGTAATTTGTGCATTTCTCCTGCTATTCCATGCCACTATCCAAATGATAGACCCCTTTCCTTGTTAAACTGAGGATAGGGTGAAATTGCTTATTGAACTTGAGTGGTGCATTGGTCTCATTTATGAAAGTAATAGATATTCATTAAGTGGTGTGTGTGTGTCTGTCTGTCTGTAAACACATTAACTGGTGAGTCTGTCCTTAAATATCTTCCTATGTAGAAAGGGAGCTTAAGTGTTCTACTGACAACTCAAGCTAAGGCCTTAATGCTGCGCATTGCAGCTGGACCATGAAGATGCATAGTTGGGGAGAGTAAAGGTATTTTGGGTGGAGGAAACTTCAAAGGCCATCCCACAGAGGCAATAAAGCTCAGCAATTTATGTGAAACAGTTCATTCATTTCATAAATATTTATAAAACACCAGGTATTTGACAAACACTGTTCTAGACCCTGGGGCCCTGCACTATAAAAGAAAAAAAAAGTTTGTTCTTGTTGGACCTACACTCTGAGAAGCAAAGGACAAATGGTGAACAGATCAATTATATAACTTCAGGTAGTGATAAGTACAGTGAAGCACATAGACCAAAGTATTTTAGGATTTTTGTTGCTGTGAAAAAATATCTTGAGCAAAAGTAACAGGAAAGGAAGAGTTAATTTGTTTTATATTTGACAATCACAATCCATCACTGAGGGAAGCCAAGGCAAGAACTCAAATACTCAGCTTCTTCCTGGATTATAGAGGGCCACATCTTGGCTCATGTTTTCTTTCCTTGGGCTATGGCTGTGTGCATGTTTGTGTGTGTATGTGTGTTACTCTGGTGGATCTCTCTGGTATTCCTTATAACTATACTAAGTTTATTGGATCAGTATCCATAGCACCATCCTTACCATCTCATTAATTTAATCCTTAGAGTATCATATCTTCAACTAGAACCACATTGGGAATTAAGGCCTTAAATATAAATGGTGAGAGGAGATGAAATTTATCCTGTAAAATACAGAAAAGGGAATAAGGTTTCTTTTTGAAGTAAAAAAGTAGGCAAGTTTTACTACAATTGAACATCAAACTGACCCTGACAGAAAGAGAAGTCCACTGGGCAGTGTGGATTCTTGTCAGTGGGTAACCTCTTCACTGTCACAGGCTTATTCTCTGGTGTCTCCTGTTGGTTAAGGCAGTTTAGCACTGGTTGAACATTGACACACATCCCCTGTGCTGGTGTGGGGAGGATTCTGTGGCTATAAAGTCTCTTACACTCTGCTGAGTTTGTTTCTGCATAGAACACTGATTTTAAATACTGACTCCATCTATGAAAGCTGGGGTGGAAGATGTCAGATATCAAACCCAAGCCAGGTTTTATGCCATCAGAACGAAACACTGGCTGAGCTCTTTGAAGTACTATTGCAGAATCAAGAAGAGAAGAAACAGTGACAACTCTTAAACTCTGTCCATAAAGATAATTCTTGAACCCTGGATTCAGTTTCTTTCATAACAGAGAATGTAAATCCATGCCTGACTCATGTTAACAACTATTTTACAAAACAAATTTGCTAATTTTTTTGTATCAAAGTGAGTTAAAATTATTGTGCTCTCAAAATCACCAGCCTTGTGAGGCAACTGGAGGCAGATTTATTTATTTTTTATTTATTTATTTATTTTTTAATTTTTATTTTGCAATACAATTCAGTTCTACATATCTGTCACGGATTCCCTTGTTCTCCCCCCTCCCGCCACCCTCACCTTCCCCCCAGCCCACCCCCCATTCCCACCTCCTCCAGGGCAAAGCCTTCCCCGCGGACTGAGATCAACCTGGTAGACTCAGTCCAGGTAGGTCCAGTCTCCTCCTCCCAGGCCTAGCCAAGCGATCCTGCATAGGCCCCAGGTTTCAAACAGCCAACTCATGCAATGAGCACAGGACCTGGTCCCACTGCCTGGATGCCTCCCAAACAGATCAAGCCAATCAACTGTCTCACCCATTCAGAGGGCCTGATCCAGTTGGTGACCCCTCAGCCATTGGTTCATAGTTCATGTGTTTCCATTCGTTTGGCTATTTGTCCCTGTGCTTTATCCAACCTTGGTCTCAACAATTCT